CCCAAGGACAGGACGCCATATTATTTCCCCTGTACCTTTCCCCTGTCACTAAAAACAAAAGATTCTTTCAAGCCAGGGTACAAAAACCACTGCGGGCTGAATGATCCTCCAACCCCCGACCCAGAATTAAATGTCATCTGGATTTTCTGAACACTAGCTGTAAAACTTTACCCCTGTAAACAAAGGAAACTATTATAATGAGCATTATGTGTTTCGTGGCTTAAATTCTCTAGGCAAGTTTTCTAGATTCTTCCTGATCGTTTGAAAATGTTTCCTGAGAAGCGTTTCTGACCTTGAGTGTGTTGAGTGCCACTGTGTGCATGTGGAATATGAATGATTAAGCACGTCGAGAAAACAAATGAATGAAACCTGAGAAGTAGGGTGGGTTTTGTAAAGAAGAGGTTTGACCCCTCACCCCCCCCCCCCCCGCACCCAAAAACAGTGGGTGGAATGGGGATAGAGATATAGCTTAGTATTAAAGACAAACTAACAGCGGGCAGGAGTAAACCCTGGGATTTGCCTGGATCAGCATCTTGCCTCTGTCTGTCTGCTTCTCTCCCTGTCTGTCTGTCTGTCTGTTTCCTTGTCTGTCAGCCTGTCTGTTTGTCTGTCAGCCTGTCTGTCTGTCTGTCAGCCTGTCTGTCTGTCTGCTTCTCTCCCTGTCTGTCTGTCTGTCTGTCTGTCTCCTTGTCTGTCAGCCTGTCTGTCTGTCTGTCAGCCTGTCTGTCTGTCTGTCTGTCTGTCAGCCTGTCTGTCAACCTGCCTGTCTGTCTGTCAGCCTGTCTGTCTGTCTGCTTCTCTCCCTGTCTGTCTCCTTGTCTGTCAGCCTGTCTGTCTGCCTGTCTGTCTGTCTGTCTGCTTCTCTCCCTGTCTGTCTGTCTCCTTGTCTGTCAGCCTGCCTGTCTGTCTGCTTTTCTGCTGCCCCCCTGCTCCTAACCCCCCACCCTGAGGCCCACTGCTTCTAGACACACACACCTGTGTGTATGTGTGTGTGTGTGTGTATGTATGCATGCTTGTGCATGTGTGTATGTGTGTGTG